GCCCACGACGCACCGCGACGAAACCGCACCCCCGCGCAATCACGCTCATGGGCACGGTTCCGTCGCTCACCGCCGCCACAGAGCCCAGCGCGTCCCCCGCCCAAGACGGGCGGTCAGGGACGCGGTACGGCTCCGCGGCGACCGCCAAACCCACACCAAGCTCGGCCAGGCTATGTAGGAATAAGTCCTGAGCCCGGGCCGAGTGGTTGAGGTTGGCCTGGAGGATCCGAGTGGGGGGCATGAACACTAGGCCTTGTCCATGGCCTCCCCCCGGCCGGATCCTCCCTCCTCACTGACCGGCGCCTGCGCCGGTCGATCCACCTGCGGCTGCAGAGCAGCCGCACCCGGCGTCACCGCCGCACCCGGCGTCACCGCCACACCCCCGCCCGGCACCGCCGTGGCCCCGCCCTGGGCAGTCGTCCCCGCGCCCGGCACCGCCGCAGCCTCGCCCCGCCGCGACGGCGGAGGCGCGCAGCCCCCGCCACCCAAACGGTGCCCGGCCGGCCGACCGAGGTCGGTACAGACCGGGCACTTGGGGGCCTCGGCGCATTCCCGGACCACGTGGCCGGTGCCCCCACACGAGTAGCACCGCCCGCCGCGGTCCGCATCAGACGGACAACCGCGACGGACGTGCCCCTCTTCGAGGCACCGGAAGCACCGGAGTGGCCGGGCCGCGAGTACCTCCACCCGCGCGGACGACCACCCGACCAGCAGCCGGCCAGCGGCCGCCAGTCTCTTCGCCACGGCGACGGGGCACTTGGCCCACACCCCGCCGAGGCCGGATCGATTGCGTCTAACGACGCCGACCCGGACCTCGGCGGCGGTGCAGCCCCCGGCCGCAGCAACCGCCCCCGCCACCGCCTCCGCGGTGACCGACTCGTCGAGGCCCGTCAACCGCACCTCGGCGGTTTTGACGGGCCTACTAACACGTACGTCGGTCCCGCGGAACACCTCTTCTAGGCGCCGCGCAAGGGCGTCCGCCCGGGCAGCCCCCTCCGGCCCCGGGACCTCCAGTATCGAGGCCCCGGTCTGGCCCTTGCGGTAGCGGATGTCCGCAATGCCGACGTTCGCCAGGCGGACGCCGGACTTCGCCCTCTGCAAGACCTCCGCATAAGAGGTCGAGCTGCCCGGGGCGACCGTGAGCTTCACCGCGGCCCTCTTGGGGGCACACGGCAGACGCCCAGACGCCCCCCCTCGCGCCGGCACCGCCGGAACAGCCTGAGGCGGGGGCGCCGCAGCCTTGGCCCGCCTGCGGCGCTCCTTACGGCCAACAACCTCCGACCAAGCGGCCGGGGCG